CATCTGTATTCATTAGTGAATGATCAAAATAAGAATACTTTCGAGGAATTGGCTTGGAATTGAAACATTAATGAGGAAATTCATAGCAGAGCTGCAATGCGCCAATTCAATGAAAATCGCAGAATCCACCAACACTAACCATTTCGTTGATTTTCATTCGCCTCGTTCAAAATACAATCGCTAAATTTTCTTGGAGACCACGACAATCTGGTGTCGGTTTTTGGAGGATTCAGCAGTTGCGTTGTGCCACGATCAAAATCAGCGGATCGATTGCGATTGTGTCGTGTGGATGATGCCGGGAAGGGGACAATCGGTGGATTTGAGCTTGGTCTGAGAAGCGTGGTCGGGATAGCAAGTGCCGAAGGACGTTCAACTTTATCCTGAAAAAAAAATTGTAGGGAATTATTTCATTTCCATGTTTCGTTGCCTCGTTCAATCGGCCTACAGCAGTTTGCAATAGAAATTGTATTTTGTACAATATACAGTGTCTCGCACACATTCTGAGCGCATCGGCAAAAAGTTAGAAGTCGAGAAATTAAACTTTCAAAAACATTTTTCAGGCGATGCTCGGATCTTTGATCGCTTAAAAATCATGAAGATGGTAGTGAGAAGACTATTGCGGTTCCTATTCAAACTGGACAGAATGGTATTGTTACTGAAACTATTTCTTGACGATAATGGAATGCTCTGCCTATATGCTTGAACATGATGGTACCATCTGTCATGGACTCGACAACCTAATGTAATCAGAAATGTGTTGGTTGGCATTAGATCAATCAGTACCTGAAACTGTCATGAACAGTAGCAAGCAAATAGAACGGCTCAACTAACCTTTCGTTTGTGAACCAACTCAACCAATTCAATCAACTCATCGTCTTTCTTGTTGCCTTTAGGACTACCGGAAATTTTCAGTTGACCGCCAGTGAGTACGATTGAAGTCGATTCATCAGGAGGTTCATCCAGACTTAGAAGGGGTATCGTAACTTCATTTGTTACTGTGATAGACATTTTTTTCGGTTATCTGAAAACAGAGAGCAACTTTAGAAGTTGCTCTGCTCCGGAGCACTATGAGCATTCACAATCCGAGTCTGCGATAATAGTCTCACGCATGGTGTGACCGGTTTGGAACGAATCTATCATAACACTTTCAAGAACTATCAGTGAGTCGAGGAGATAACGCACTGTTGAACAGTCATAGAAAATATTTCCTTGAGTACAAGGAATTTTATGTTGACAACTTCAACAATGCATATACACTCGTACGTGATTGCTATCGAATGGATATAAATCGATGTGAAATCGCTTCATGTACCATGCTCAATTCACAAATGAGGTTCAAAGTTGGCGAGAACCAGAAATTTGAGACATTGCATTGAGGATCACAAATAAAAATGCTAATCGCGAGCGATAGCTCTGTACAAATACATAACAACATCTTCAGGTATCCAGACCAAACATCGATGCAACGATATTGTATTCAAAAACGAGATAACATTAGTACAAGTGTTGTAAAAGCACAAAAAAAGATTCATAAGCAACGAAATGTATGAATACTATCAGTATAAGATGATTCTCATGCTATCGAACGGTTTGAAAAAAAGGTGAGAATGATCGTGTTTGTGGTGCCTTCAACACTGAAATGATTCATCAATTCATTTCAACGCCATCAAACTGAAAACAATTATTTGTTCATTCTGTGGTCTCTTTGATTGGGATTTATACATTTTGATTTGCACTTAGTCGACTTCTTAAACAACTCGTTTTGTGGGTGTTTTATATGTGTAAGATTTGCGTGCATACAACCTTCGCTACCAAACAATAATATTGTTCTTAACGGTGCGATGAACTCGGCAGAAATAGAAAGAAATCACATCTCAAAGTTAAAAGGGGAAAGATTGCAGAGGCGATGGCAAGAAATTGGGTGATTGTAATGAAAGAAGAGAGAATATGGACATCTGAAGAAAGTAAGTAACAGAGTAGATATTTAGGCCCTCTCACAGTCAGCATCAATTCAAATTCGCTATGAAAATTTCTGTAGAGTGAAATAATTTCCTTAAGAAAACTGTATTCTGTGATCATTCACATTGCCACTTGTGAAGAGAAATGGACGTCTTTAATAGCAGAGAACAGCGTGATCAGATCAAAGTCGCAACAAATCGATTGAATTGATCAAAATGACAAGGTGAATTGCTCAGTAAGGTAGAAATAACAATAATTAGTCTAATAATAAGGAAGAACTTGACTACTTGAAGTCACGCTACTAATATTCAACTCAAAAAACTACCTTTTGTACTCATTCAGGCCTACTTTTGCACGAAACATTCTGTGGCAAATTTATTCTCTACTTCCACTTTGGAAATGGAAATACAGCGAAGATTTGAGGAACATCGAATGCAAGAAATCTATCACATGAAACCTGAGCACATTAAACGAGCCAATCAAAATTAACAACAATATTTTGACGAGTTCCACTTTCCATCCGAAACCTTTAAAGAATGTTTCCTTTTAATTCTTCTTTTCACTATCCCTTAAGTTATTCCATGCAGTTGTTTGCTACATTTATAGAGTCCATCTCGTCATACAGTAGACTGTATAAAACTTCTAATCTTAGTGTTTCCTTTTACATCCTGAATGATCAATGACTAATCCGTTTTCATCATTCAAACGTTTTTCACTTCCTGAAAGTAGAATTTAAACAGTTTCTTGCTTCCGTCAAGTTGCCGTTCGATAACTGTTATCAATGAATGACGCAGGTAATTGCAAAATTGGATTTGATTTCACATTTGTTAAGCGGACAGTTTGACGTATGCTTCCTGATAGTGCGATTAATTTATTTTTTAGCATTTCAATTGATAACTGAGAGCTTGAAGAAGAGTTGCACGATATGATTTCGTAAACGCGAATCACTGATGATGAAGATAAAAATGCACGGTCAATTTGTTGTTGATATGACGCTCAGACAACGGGTAATACTTCATTTCAGATTAATAAGAGAAGAAGGATATGTGGTCGATAACGACTCGCCTTCAAACTCACCTGATATCCCCAAAGCGATGGCTGAATAGACCGTGCCCGATCAAGTGACCCGAAATCGGTTTCAGCCTAGATTTGAACATTCTACTTGTAACAGATAAAGATTTTTGGCTTACAGAAACCATAGAAGCTTGAATGCGATTCACTTGAACATCTCCTTTATAATCTATAGGCATTCCACTGCGTGTATTGATTGATACAACCGATTCAGTGTATTCAATGTGAGTTAAACGCGAACGCGTTCTCACTGCATCAATCACATTTAACTGTGCACTGTTTCGCTACAAACACAAGCGACTCAATAACATCACTGTGAAAAGAATGAGAAAACAACTGAAAATTTGCTGAAAAGATTGAGAAAATAACTGAGAGGTTGTGAAAAAGATTGAGAAATATGTCAGAAATGGCTAAAAAGAATGAGAATTCGTATTGATGTTCCAAAA